ATTCATGAGAGGCAGAAAGTGATGGGACTGACTGAATTCTGTGCGTTTCCATAGAAACTCTACAAACTGGAGGGCTTGGGTTAGGCTAGGTGCTATGTGTCACATAATAATAATGCAAGGTTGTGGGAAAATAAATAGTAAATCATGCACTACTGGTTACGTCACCTGATATGGCTTTGCGAGTATGAATTTAAAAATGTCATTGAGCATATCTCAAGAGAGGAAAACAATGCAGATGGGAAGTGTGGTTTCTCAAAGGACTGTTCCTCAGCTCAAGTGCTCTCAAAAAGATGATAACATCCCACCTTTGTCTAAAATTCAAAATACTACCTCTCTAATGGACAACAGAGGTCTTAGTCATAGGTTCAATTAGCGAGAAAACAAAATAACTTAATAGGGCTTGAACATTCTTTTTGTCTGTCAGCTAAAAGGTATTGCTAATTTCTTTCAATCTCTTTTTTTAATTAAAGCAATTAACAGTCAGTCATGCTATTCTTTTTTGAGAGCATTGCATGGTGTAAAAGAAATATGAGATTTTGTGGAGGATTGGAAGAGAATAATGGACAACATTGCTTATAATTGGACTGAACCTTGTAAATTATCTGTCAGACAAAACAGGTATGTTTTTACTGTTTTCTGAAATGTCAATCAACTTTATTCATTTAATTTCATGTAGAAATTCTCCTTCTCATACAAGATATGTGTTGTCACTTGGAATCATACCACAGAGTAAGTTTAGTCCAACAAAGTGGAAAGACAGGGAAGACAACACAGTGATCAGCATTGCTGCCTCACAGTGCTTGGGCCTTGGGTTCAGTTCCAGACCTGAGGTACTGTCTGCCTGGAGTTTGTGTCCTGTGTCCCATTCAGGGTATATTACTGGGCTCTGGCTCCCCTGCGACCCTAAAATTGGAATAAGCAGCTAGAAAATGGATAGAAGGAAATTCAGAGAACAAATGTCTAACTTTCCTTTGTGTGTCGGAAAGCTTTTATGCAACTGCTCTGTAAATACACAGAGAGCTCTGTGTTGCACCCCCCCCACACACACACAAAGGCCTGTGAAAATTTGTTTGTTTGGTCTATTAACCTCCAAGTGTTTTCTTTACCTATGGAGCTCTAAAGGGAGGTAAACTAATAGATGTGATAAACCACATGAATAATTTAAGGTGTCGCATCATGTATATTGGTGAGAGTTTGTGGTGGTGCATTTGAAGATCGTGCATAAGAGGAGCTATTTTCAAGGTAACATCATGGCTCTGCATAAACAGTGAGTCAAATCCCATTAGAGCCCAGCTATTAAAAAATGTGATTTATAACCACTACCTACACAAAATAAAGGACCATTCTAAAGAATTTTAGGGGAATCACTTGCGATCTAATTTAAAATAATCTTGTCAACAAAGGTTAAAGAGATCCCCATTCACACTCAACACCCAGCAAGCTTTAATAACTACTGCAAGAAATCCCTTTGCTGCTGTATTCTAGGCCTTTAACAATTAATTGTACAGTAGATTATAATTATAATGGGGCTAGTGTTCAGCAAGGCCCTTTTAAGGTTTTATCAAATTTTATTACCAGTAACTAATGGAGAGTCAGGAAGTCTGGTGGCATTCAGTGCCAAACATATTAGTGCCCAATAATCACGCATTAAATTTGGGAATCATACTTTGCACAGTATTTCAGCATCAGCACTAGCAGCCAATGGTCAAGAGCTTGGGTCAATATTTAAAAACTGCAAGAGCATATCCTAACCAGGGAGGAGTTTCATTAAAATCCTGGTTTCCCTAGACTCTCTATTGCAATTAATGACATTAATTTGAAACTATAAGCACTGTTTCAGATTAATTACCTTTATGTTAATACTAAATAATTCATTCTGTTAATGTGCATACTATTAGTATAATATTGTTTCTGTGTATGTAATAAGACAATTTCAACATGAATCATTCACTGCAACCTCTAATTATATTTTAATGCGTGATGAAGTGTTTGTAATGATTTATATTCAATGGATAAGGATATCTAGTGAAGACACAAACTTACATGTATTATTATTGTTGTTCAATGTAATATTATTTGTTATTTGTATTTGAAATGAACGCTCATGCACAACAAAACAATCATACAAATATTACAACTGAAGTAAAAAAGGTGTGTATTAATAAGGATATGATGAAATATTGACTTGCTGTGAGAGCAATGTGGTGTGTCATGTATATCTATTTTCTTAGCTTCCTCCCACTGCTACAGCTCAGGCTCTTTCACTTGAGATTAATGCTGTACTATCAAAATCTCCTCAATATTGCTTCAGGACTCCGAAACATTGGGCTACCAGCATTTTCCCCCCTCATTCATGAGTGATGAATGCCCAACAACTAACTGGCTTCATAAAGTGGCTAATGTTTGTGAAGTTAGTGAATCACCTCCCACTCTGCGGTTACTGGTTTCACACAAACACCTGATTTCGGTGTACAGGGCACTGATTTTGGTCTTTGTGTAAGCCTCCATCTCCGAGGCTAGTGTAATGTTTGGCATGGGGTCTTTGTCCTTGCACCCTGGCTATCAAACTCTGGCCTACCCTTTTCACATCTGTGTAACAAAAGTCTTTGTCTAAAAAAAGAAAAATGCTTTTGAAATGCTCGTAGTATGTTTCTGTTTTTATTTGTGGTAAACCCTCTTGACTGACAATATTTTCACTGAGAAAGGTATACTCCTAATAGTGTTTGTTTTTCAGAACAGCGCTGAGAGTTCCATTAAGTGTAATGCAAAGTGTACTCTGCTTATATTACCACACATCATTTATATTAATGTGATTTTGTGTCAGTCACATTTTTTCTGTTGCTATTCAGTCATAAGCATTAAGACTGGAGTAATTTAAAGAAGCTGCAATATTCTTGTGCAGTAGTTTTGATCACCATCTGATCCTTCTTTTCTTGAATGTAAGATATCAAAAAGAATATATATTTTATAACTGAAAAGCAGGAATTTAGTATTTTGTGGCTGCTTGAAAACAGCTTCTGTATGAGAGATTTAGTACACCAATTTCAGTTTTGACTAAAAACCTAGGAGAAATCTAATAATTTAATACATTTGGATATGTCAGGATCTACGGTATTATATCGTGAGAATGTAATGTAAATTACAGTACTATTGCAAATCAACTTAAATTCATTTATCAACTAAAAATCAACTAAAGCTCAACAAAAGCCAGTTGTACTGTATGTTCAGTGTTTCTTATTTTTGTAATCAAAACAATAAATTAAATTTAAGATTTGTGTTACTTACAATATTGTATGTACAGTATAAATAGAATATCTGTATTGCATACATAAACAGAATACCTATCAAAATATATATGTTTGAGAAATACTGGATGTTCAGATCCATGCCAGTTATGCAGTAGGTTACTTGTGAAACCTCTTCCAGCTTTGATAACCTGGAGAAGTGTATCCTGTATCTTGTATACAGCACCTCTTCAGGTCCCCCATATCACCTGATATCACCTATCACTTGTGATCTGCTTCCTTCAGTTCATACCTTAAATGTTCTGTGATTACATGTCAAGAACATTGATTTTTGTGCTTTCTTTTAACCACATTGGCACATTGAGCTTAGTGCTGGCTTTGAAAATTAAGGCTAGCACAAGCTGGGAGCACAATGCAGGTGCGACTGTTAGCAATTGAAATAGGGCGATTTAACAGTCAATGAAGACATGAGTCAGGTAGCATGTATTCCAGGCCCAGGGGGAACAGGAGCAAAAAGCAAATCACACCTCCAGCCTGAGAGTCAAGCACATACTGTGAGCTGAGTTGTAATTGAAGACTAAATATAATTGGACTGGTTGAAGCTTCTTTCTGAGCAGTTGTTCCTCAGTCTTGAGCAGGCCCCTAGAGGTGGTAAGAGAGTGAGTAAAACCGATTTCTGTGGAAAGGAAATGTGGAGAGGAAGGAGAGGGTGTGAGGGGGTATGGGAAATCTAGTGGAAGGGACTGAAGCTGGGTAGGACAGTGGTAGGCAAGGACAAGGTTGTGAATGGGATACATATGGCAATATGGAGAAAGTAGCCTGGGGTAATGGCATAGCCTGAGTTGCATAATGCCAGCAGCCATATCATCCTGCAGCTCATAACTGGCAGCCCTCTGAAGCTATGCAGGTGTGAGCCCGGTCAGTACCTGGACGGTAGACCTCCTGGGAAAAAACTATGGTTGCTGCTGGAAGGGGTATTAGAGGTGGCAGTAAGGAGTGCTCAGCCTGCAGTCTGTGTGGGTACTGATGACCCAGTCTAGAATGGGACACTACACTGTGAAAAAAAGGTGCCTTCCTTTGGATGAAACATAAAGCCGAGGTCCTGACTCTCTGTGGTCATTAACAGTCATTAACTCTAGAAAGGAGCAGGGGTGTTAACCCGATGACCTGGCCAAATTTTCCCCTGGCCTTTACCAATCAATCATGGCCTCCTAATAATCACTATTTATGAATTGGCTTCATTACTCTGTTCTCCTCCCTACTGATAACTGGTGTGTGGTGAGCGTTCAGGCGCACTATGGCTGCCATCACATCATCCAGGTGGATGCTGCACTTTGGTGATGGTGGAGGGGAGTCCCCATTACCTGTAAAGCACTTTGAGTGGAGTGTTTAAGGAATTATTATTATTATTATTATTATTATTATTATTGGAGTACAATGAGAAAAGCATGTAAAGATTGGTAAACAATTCGAATACATTTACACCATTTATTTAAAGCATACAAAGTATGAACACAATTTAAACATTGTTTACTTACAAATATATTTTATCATCCAGACATTAATGTATTAAGGATGTATGCCTGATAATGATTTGCTAACTCAGTCTTTTTCTGACAGGGTATGAATGATTTGGAGCCTAATCTAATAATTTTTCTAATGCATTTCAAAATAAGACATGTCATTTTCTTCAAATAGGTAAAGAATCTCTTCCCTCTCTCTGATCTAACGATTTCCTTACTATCTTTTCTGCAGACACACTTTCAGTGCCTCGATGGTCCCCACAGATACCCCGCAGAGATCTGGGAAATTCAATAAAACACAGGTAAAAGTCAACCTAATACGAGCTCTCCTCACACAGAATGTCAGCAAATTTAAATGCTAACAATTTGGGTTCATTGTTTTTCTCTATTCTCAGTTCAGTGACTCCAAATGACTTTAATGGACTTGAACAGTTTTGAAGTATTTTACAGTGGAGAAAAGAGCGTGGTTCTTTTTCCACTAATATGCTATATGTAAATTTCCCTTTAGGTGTGTTGCCTGCTGACAGTCTTTCATCCTACACCCACAGATATCCAGTTCAGAAAGTAGAGGATTGAGGCTGTTCTGCTGCCTCAGTTGTTGGCCAGTATTAATAATCACATGTGTAATTCCCATTAAATTGTAACACTTACATCCTTTGTAGAATTCAGGGAACAGTTTGCGGCCAGACTTGAGGGTGCGGTTGTGACAAAAAGGATATTTTTGTTCTTTCTTTGGAAAATATAAAATGCTGTTCTATTAGCTTGATGTCCATTTAGATGGTCTTATCTTTACCCTAAAAATAAAATATATGCTCTGTTTAACTGTTACAATTAGTTTAAATGCTATGGTGCTCTAGTAAATATTTCAATAGATAAATTAAATTTTAAAAGTTAAATCATGAATGTGAGGAATACTAGATAGATAGATAATACTTTATTAATCCCGTAGGGAAATGTATGTGTTACAGCAGTCCAGCCCAAGACAAGCAAAACAGACATCAGAATAGTTATAAAACAAAAGACAAACAAGATAAATAAAAATAAATAAATACATAGGTGTGTGCAAAATGTGCTGATCATAGTCACTGTAAAAAC